ACATTTCACTTCACTGCACTAACTAGGGTGGATTCTTTCTTTTTAAATATTCTCCCAAAAGTGAATGTTAAAGCTGCTCACTCTAGTAAAACAGGGTAAAAACCAAGTCCGGTTTTATTTTTAAGACAGTGTCTTTCTGTTCTCTGGACTTCTGGTTGAGAAGGTGCATGGACACTGATGCTTCAGCTCCCTCTAGTAAATGGAAAAGCCTCATTTGCTGTTTCAGTGTCAAGATCGCTGGAATCTTGGCCACATCGGCAAGCAAGATCTAATCTAAAGTCTAATTACACAGTCTAGGACACATTCCAAATGAAGCATTACTGTTCTCCCATTCTGGGCTGCAATGGCTTTCTCATTCAAAAAAGAACCTAGAACTTTAGAAAAGCAGCTGAAAAAAATCTATAAACAGTAGTTAACCTATTAATGGCTGAATTTTGGTTTTCCCCCAGATTCAGTTTTTATATGCCCGTTGAAAGATTTTTCTTCTGAAACTTTCCAAATCTGACTTTTTTCATGCTTTCTTGTTTAACTTTTTTGGTCTTATTACTCTACATTTTCTCCTGTTCTGTGTTTTTTTCCCCCAATTAAGTAGGAATCTTGCTCAGCTTATGTTCCCACTGTGAGAATAACTTGTCTGAGCCTCTCCTGCCATTTCCAGTCTTCCTTCTCTCTCTCTCTCTGTTTCTTGATGGTTGAGGACAGCCAGGAATGGAGATACACAAATATGAGCTACAGAAAAAGCGAAGCATGAACCACATGAGCCGAGAGAAGATAAGCCAGAGATCACATGATTCCAGAGAGGTGATAGGAAGTGCTTTCTTGCCTAATAGAACTTCAGTTCTAGTAATTTGGGAGGACCTGCAGGTTTCCTTGTCCTGTGGCTCCATGGGATATCTGTGGCTCCTTAAAATAAATCTCGGTTTTTTAAACTTAAGTTCTTTGAAGAGGCTTCTGTTTTTTCTAAGTGTAAGATCTCCTATTCCTGACTTACAGTTCTGTTTTGTCCTCCTTTACTTTACATGAACCTCCAATCCATTAAGAGCTTAATTTTTAATTATACAACATCTCATCTACAATGCTACAACTAGTATAAAAAATAGCAAGGGGTTATGGCTTTATTTTTCAAAAGAATTATGAAGAGACAATTTAGCAAAGTGTTTAAGAATGTGAGCTCTGAGGCTTTTCTGCATGATCAGCCTTGGATCTCAGGACCTCTCTGTGCTTCAGTTTTCTCTTCTATAAATAGGAATAATAAAAGTATCCACCTTCAGGGGGTTATGTGATAATTGAATGAGATAATGTGTGTAAAGATCTTAGAATAGCCCTTGACATATCATAAACCTATGTTAAATGTTGTTGTTATTGCTATTTATAGCAACACATTCCTACTGGGCTTTCCACAAGAACTTTAACATATGTATCTCAGGGACATCCCAGCTTCCTTCCAAAGAAAACCATTGCATCATTTCTTGGTCCTGTCATAGGCTTGTCTATCTAATCCATCATACTTGTAGCTTGACCTCAGGTCTATCTAACCACAGAGCGTATACTTATTCCTTTACATCAGCAGTTCCCAAATTTTAATGATCACAGATTTCGAAGCTACGAATCAGAATGCTATAGATTGATTTTTAAAATGAAACTAAAGAACTTTCAAATAATTCTAGTGATCTGGCTATTGGATGAGCTGTAGGTCAGTTCCAACTTACTGATATTGAGTTTAGTGAGATCTCTACCAGCTACATTTGTAAAGTGTGCACAATAAATATCCATTTCACAGGATTGTTAACAGTGACATCTAAGATCTATCTACTGAATCATTATCATATGCTAGGCATTGTGCTAAAATCTTTTAATATGTTATCTTTAACTTCCATATCAACTCTATGAAACAGATACTAGGTAATTCCCATTTTACAGATAAGGAAACTAAAGTATGAAGGTTAAGCTATTTGATAAAACCATGGAGAAGGAATACAGTAACTATTACTATGAGTAACTATTATTATGTGAAAGACCATATTTCATAATGTATTTAAAAACCTGGCACACAGTAGTTTCAATAAGGGATCTCTCTCTGTTTCCTTTTATTCATATGAGTTTGTGCATGCCCAGTGAGTTTCAGATTTCTTTGATCTTAGCAGTTCTTAAAGAATTGAAAATGGCATATTCCAGAGAGTACAAAATGAAAGGGAAGCAGGTATCAGTGGAAGATTGAGGCGTTTGCGGTCTCCAACAAAGAAATAAAAAAGAAAACATGATTACATATGAAACAGTAGGCAAACATAAGGAGACTCATTGGCTTGGCCATTTAGGGTAAGAAAAGCAAGATCATCCCCTTTAGAGGAGGAAATTAACATAATCAGAATAGAGCCATATCAACTCAGGGAGGCAAGATCTATCCCCATCCTAACACAAGGGCACCTGATTCTTGCTTGTACCCTTTTTATGACAAGAAACTAAAAATTTATCAAAGTAGAGAAGGCCTTAGTAGTTAGAAAAGTCTTCATATTGATTAGTTTTGGAGTTTCTATTCACAGGTCCCCCTTCCCTTGGGGCCTGAAAAAATAAGACTAATTTTTCTTCTATTTGACAGCTCTTCAAATATATGAAGACAGGTGCCTTGTCCCCCTTAGGGCAAAACCTTCTGCATGCTTGAATCATTCCTCGTATGACATAGTTTTCAGCCTCTTTATATCCTGGTCCCTTTCCCTGTATATAGAGATAATTCCTCTTTGACAAATCTAAATTATAGATAGAATGACACGTGCTACTAACCTATACTCAACACTCAAGCAACAATTTTACCTTAAGTATAAGACTTCTGTTGATGCAGCCTAAGAACATTAATTTAATTTGGCAGTCATTAATTCATTATAGAGTCAGATTTCTTTGTCATTTAAGACCTTTGCTCATACAAGACTATGGTCTTGCTCACACAGGAATCTGTTCTTGCCTATACATGCACCTGTGGAGAAACTTCTGATCAGGGTACCATCCAGCAGTTGGCTTCCCAGCGCAGGACTCACATTTACTCCTGTTACACTCTACCCATTGTTCTAATTTTGGATTTAGTTTATGTTATCTAATGGCATCTCTTCTCTTCCAAACTGTGGATCATTTAAAAACTCAATGCAAGTCCTCCTAAGCTTTTATTCTGGTTATTGATAAAAGTTTTAAAGTCTAGACTTTGGAGAGAGCTTTCCTATTAGCCTGATAATAAGGACTGTGGTATGGAGACTTTGGAGTCAAATATATCTGGAGTTAAATACATTTGGTTACAATTTGGTTCTGCCATCTAACTCAGATTTCACTTTCTACATCTGTGAAATGGGGGCAACAATCCCTTCGTCACAACATGATTATGAGGATTAAGGGGAAAAAATGAAGAGAAAGTAGTTAGCACAGCGGCCAGAATACAGTAGATGCTTCACAAATGTGCTTCCTTCCACCCTTACTTTAGGTCAACATGGATTCATCAACTAGCATCTCTAGGTTTTGGTTACTTTTTTATTATTAATCCAATTCTACTAAGACCCAGCCCTTATTTCTTCTCCACAACATCTTGTCAAGTGCATTTTTCTTTAAGTTCTCCTCAAGATATGGGGCAAACAAAGCAACAAATTCCACCTGCAGGTAAACTCAAGCACAGCAGCAAGCTGTCAATAACATTAGGTGACTTTAAGAACAGTTAGTAACCATTCATAAGTACTTTTGGGCAACATCTGTGCTATCCACAATGCGCTGGTCTTGGAGAGAGCCTGTCAGCCTGATAGTAACCAGTGTTGTCTGAGCCAGTGAGTTTACAATTAAAGTGTAATGTCTCTTCAGGAATTAGAGCGTTAGAATGCTGAAGTTAAAGGTGCCCGTCTGAATCACAGGGCTAGGTCATGTAATTTTATTTGCGTATACATCCAGTCAACATCTATGAAACATTTGCTAGCCGCTTCAATTCCTCTTTCCACTCTGTTAGAAATTAAAAGGGAAGGGCGAAGAAGCAACTAAAAAGGCACGGTGTTTTTATATTCAAGGAGTTGAACATCTAGAAAGATTGATAATTCTTTGTGCCAAAGGCTCTCTGCTTAAATGCCCGAGATAAACAAATAAAAATTTTCTAACCCTCAGCACCCAAGTCGCATCTTATCATGATTACTTTTTTGTCATTCTCTCTCCTTATATCACTTTTTTTTGCAGCCGAAAACACGGCCACTGGGACGTGCCTACGACGCAGAAGTCCAAAACCTGGCTATTGGAAGGAAAAATAATGTAATCGCCCCGTGCTTCAGTTTCCCCTTTTGAACGAAAAGAAACGCTTGGAGGTCAGGACGAGCCAAGAACGTAAGAACAATCGGCGTTCTTGGGGTGGAAAAACTTCTAGAAACATCAAGTATTCGTCCACTCGCTTGAACTTTGGCAAACCCAGGCGTTTTAGAAAGGTTTCTTAAAATTGGTTTCCTAGATGGAGTTGAAGGGGAGGGAGAAAATGCTGCTTTTGGTCAGGCTGCCCAGAATGAAGAACAGAAACGAGTGAAAGAAGACAGGCAGACGCAGGGCAAGGACCTAGAGAAGAACATATCACAGACGACAAGAGTGGGCATTCACAGTGGTCACCCGAGTGGGAAATTTGAGGGAAAAGGGAGCCAGCTGGGGCGAGGAAATGCAGAGAGAAGCGCAGATTGGTCCTCTCCTCGGGGCGTGCGCTCCTGTATGCCGAGTGATTGGTGGCGGGAAAGTAGCAGGTTAACCGGCCTCTGCTGCCTCACCATTGGCCAGTGTCTTCTCCAGCTGCCACCCAACTGGCCAGCAGGCCGCTCAGTCGCGCGGGGATTGGCTAGAGACGACCGCCGAGACCGGCTCCCTTCGGGAGCTCGGATTGGCTGGCGGGAAGAGGCAGGTATCCGGGCCCCGCGGCTCCTCCATTGGTGGGCGGGGAAGGGGGGTTGGGCACAGCGATTGGTGGGCGGGGGGCCGGGCCAGGGCCGGCGGGGAGCGGATTGGTCGGAAAGTAGGTTAGTGGTGCGACATTTAGGGAAGGCAGAAAGTAGGTCAGGGACGGAGGTGCCTGTTTACCCGCGCCGGACTCACCGCCGCCGCCGCCGCCGCGGGATCCGAGTGGGGGCGCGGGCGCAGGCGCTCCCGGCAAGCCACGGTGAGTGTCGGGCCAGCGGCGGCCAGCGAGCGGCCCCGGCACCCCGTCTGGGGCCGTTACCTCCCCGGCAGGCGCGGTGCCCCCGCCGCCACCCGGGGCGCAGCCGGCTGCTGGGGAACCCTGCCCGACGTGCCCGCTGCCGGCCTTAAAGGGCTCGTGCCCGCTCCCAGCCCCCACCCGGCTGCGGGGAGGCTGCGCCCCTTAAAGGCGCCGCGCCTGTCCGCCCCCATCCTTCCTCATGGGGGCTGGCTCTCTGGGGTAGGGCGGGCAGAGGTGCCCCAGACGCCCTTAAAGGGACCCTGAGAGTGTCCGCGGGAGTGCCCACTCCCCGCCCCGGGCATCGCTACCTGACGGGGGAGGGGGCAAACAGCTGTCTCTTAAAGAAACAGCTCCGCCCTTTGGAAGTGATGACCTGGCTGAGTGGCAGATCCTAGGATGTATCCCCTGGGGCTTCGTGGACCCCCGAGGGGACCGTCCTGAACGAGTGCACCCCAAGGACACTGGACTAGCGAGGCTGCTCCTGCCCTTCCTCCCTCCATCCTGCACTTCCCTTTCGGGAGTCTGCGGGGCTGAGTGGGGGTGGGGAGGGCGTCTCGGAAGAACTTGAGGGGGTGGGGTGTCCAAGCTTGTCTGCCCCTTCGGTGGGTCCCGGGAGCTGGCGCTGTACCCGAGCATCCCGGGGATCCCGACCCCAGTCCGCGAACTTTGGTCTGCGCGTCCAGGTGCTGGCCGCCAGGAGGATCCCCCGTGGGTCTGCGGGCAGGTGTCCAGGGGTGCTCAGGTGTGGAGGGCGCAGCGAGGCCCTGGCTGCTTGTCTGACAGCGGTCCGGGAAGAAGCGCTCCGTGCACATTTCGGGTCTGGCCTTGACAGTCACGGAAGACAGACAATAATGCCCACTTGTGGGGTTCGGGCCAGCCACCCCGAGGGGGACTCATATGTGACAGCCTGGAGGAAAGGCTGCCCTGCCCATTGGCGTCTGTTTTCAAGTTTGTGCTGCTCTGTTAACTTGGCTGACGTTCCTCATTGTAATGTCCCACTTCGTGTCTCTGCCTTGGACCCCTTGCTTGTCACCTAATTTTGTTTTGAGTTCTTTGACTTATTCTACCCCTTCACTCTTTTTGAATTGCCCTTTTTCTGCAGGGAATCAGCCACCAAGTTTTCTCTCTCAGCTCCCCAAAATAAAAATCATATTTTTCCAGGACTTAAAAAAAAAAATCCATAAAAGCGGCCTCTTGTATGCATCTTACTTCCCCCACAATGTTTTCTTGTGACTTGTCCCTCTGACATCTGCTGCTGTCCTCCCCTTTAATCTATTTTTATATGACATCTATTATCTTAATTCTTCTAGTCCCATTGATATCAAGATCTGTCAATTCGGGTTGCTGGAGTTTTTAATTAATATACCAGGTTGAATCATGAGCTTAAAATAAGTTGCTGCTGCAGGAGCGGTTTTGAATAATGTTCTCCATGCTTGCAAGACTTAAATACACTTACACAAAACAACAAAGAAATGCAGTTTGAATTTTATTTCCATGCCAGTGAAATTCCAGAATATTTTTTTGAAACATAGAATCAGATTTCGTTCGTGTTTTATTACTAAGTTCTTAAAAAGTTCTTTTATTTTAAAAGTCAAATCTTTTTTTTTTTTAAAGTCAAATCTTTAAAATAGTTTGTTGAATGTATTTAGACTTTAACATTTAGCAGACAGGATTTGAAATTGCCTGTTACTACCTGAACCTGAATCCTTAAAAGAGGCATTCTAGTTGTTTTTTTAGATATAGTCAGTGAACAACAACAGTAGTAGTAAGAACCGTTGAAGCGATAGTGAAATTGGTCCTTTATCCTAATCCCTAAAGTTTGCAAGAACCAGAGGACGTTTAGTGGAAGGGCTCTAGTCACAGAGTTGGGAGCTGTGAATCCTGATTCTAGCCCCAACTCCAACTCTTGTGGCTGTACCACATTCAATGGCACAACCATTGAAACTCTCTGCTTCAGAAATTAAGGCAATTGAAGGTGGTATCTCAAAGGTTCTTTGAGGTTCTTTTCTGCTGTAAAGTTTTACAAGTCTCTAAATACTTAATGCATTTGAATTCAGGTTGATATTTACCTGCTAGAACTTCCAGAACATCTGAGCTTAAGTCCTATTTTCATAGGGAATTTAAACAGATGGTGTTTTAAAGAATCCATCTAAAATGATTTATAAAATGATGACTACTCTCCTGTTTGCCTGCTATATGCAGAAGAGAGTTGCATCCCACAGGGCAGGAAAAGGAAGTGACTGGGCTTTCAGATTGATTCCTTCACACTAACAGTTTCTATGCAACATATGTATCTTTAAAAGGTGGACAAGCACAGTAGAGAAGCTTGGCTATTTTAAGAGAACTGTGCCAGAAAATGCAAAAATGTGTGATATTTCTTTGTGATATAAGACTTCTTCCTTCTATATGAGTTTTCACCATTTTGAGATTCCCTCACCTGTTCTCACTGGGGTGGAAGAAAGTCAGCATTAATGAAACAGTTTCTGCCTGTGATGATGTTATAGTTGCAGGGTGGGATTTTAATGTTAGCACTATGGTAGGCACTTGTGAGGAAGTAAAAACCCTTAGCTTGTCTTGCAGTTTAGGTAGAAGCCAGAAAACAAACATAATGCCCTTCACAGGTCTTTTTCTCCACTTGCCACTTTATTTCAAGACCAAAATTAACCCCAAATACTCACTTTGTCACTTCCAATCTCACTTTATCAAAACATGATGTGCTTTACATTAAATTCCTTTAGCATCTCTTTTCTGCCCTCCTCAAAAATGTCCTTTCTCTTTGCATATTATCCTCTCTCTTCTGTATGTTCAGAGAAAGCATTGCATCTCTCATCAGCTTCCTCTTTTGTGCCTTCACTATAGTTGAAGTCTGAGTGCAGGAGCATAAGGACTTAGCTCTAGCACTTACTTGAATTTGGGCTGTGAGGTCTTACTTAGAGGCAAGCTTAACTTTCTGACCTCAGGCTCCTCTTCTGTTGTGTAATGACAATGCCTGCCTCATGGAGTGTGTGTGAAGAGTCAATAAGATGATATATGTGAAAGCCTGGCACATAGGAAGCCTCCCTGAGTGCCAGCTTCCACTCCCTTCCACCTCTGCCAAAGGCCTGCCACTTTGTCCTCAGATTCCCTACCAGTCTGGAGATGGGATGGCGAGACCCCTTTATCTTGATTTAGGAAAGGAAGAACTAAAGAGAAAAGCTGATTATGAGCCTCCTGTGCACCTGACAGTTTCTCTGCAACTTTAGGCTGTCTTGAGAGTTGGTTTGGTTGGGTGATTCAGAGTACAGAACAGACTATTGAGCAGAAGTCCTTTCTTTTCATTGTTTCTTGATAGCTTTATGGGCTACAGTCCGTTTTCTTTTGTTCTGTATGCCTCACTGTCCTCATCTGTAAAACAGGCATCACAATAGTCCTTATTACAAAGCACTGAAATGTGAATTGAATGAGTCAAAACACATCACAGTATTGAAGGCACACAGTAGGAACTCAAAGAAGGAAGGCTGTCTTCAGCACTGCTCCCTGTCACTTCACCTGAGCTCCTTGGCCTGGTACAAAAATTCTCCATTTCCAGTCTATCCATCCACTAGACATTTCTGTCCACACAGGACTCTAGTCAAGCTGAAGGGCTGCCTGTCACATCCTCTTCATGTTCCTGATATGCTTTCAGACCCAGCTCAAACGATTGGCCTCCAGGAGCTATTGCTTCATTTTGCTTTTCTTCTTCCCCAAAGCTGACCACAATGTCACCCAGCCCTTGAGCGAGCTCTGATTCTGATACATTTTATTTTTATGTTGTGTTGGCATATCTTGAGGTATACTTCACTTGCCCACTCAGACTTTTTTTTTAAGTACTAGGAGCTTTCAGAATAAGCATGTTCAATATACATCTTAGCTGAGAATATTGAGGAGGAGGAGATGTGATGGGATAGGTTCTCAGGACATGAGTAGGTAGAGGGAGAAGTCTCAGGACCTAAGTAGGTAGAAGGAGAGGGATCAACGTTGTGGAGAGGTACGGGGATGAAGGGTGCAACAGGGTAACAGTAGTCATGGCCACAAGAAGATAGAGCTGAATGAAATGAGAGTTCGAGTTGTGGGCTTAACTGGGAAGAGGTGAGATTTTATGAGTTGTAGTCATCTTTGCTTCAGAGAAGTATGAAGAGCTGGCATATGACGAAAAAATCTTTACTTTGGTGTATATTGTCTTTTTAAATATTATAAACTCATGCTTATCCAAGAAGATGATGAGTAGTGTATCCTATTTAATACTTCGACGTTGCTGTTGTTTGCTCTCAGGCTGATTTTGATTTGTGGTGATCCTCACCGCCGAGTGCAAATGCACCCCATAGGGTTTCAAGGAAGCAGATTGCCAAACCTTACTCCTAGGCCACTCTGGTAGGGTTTGAATTGTTAGCTGTTTGTTTAGTGGTGAAGGGCTAGATCTTGTGTGCCAGCCAGGGAAGCTGCTCTCATACCTGATCCACTGGATGTGGATCGAGTAAAATGTTTACATATATTTAACCTTTCAACTCTGGTTTGAAACGTGTGGCCCAGGAAAAATTAGTTAGCTTCTTTGAGTCCAAGTTGTCTGATCTGCAAAATAAGAATACTATTTGGGATGATAATAGCAGCTAAATTTTATTAGATACTTACTACATGATAAACAAGTATGTTTGCTAGTCCCATTATAATTATTAACTCATTTAGTCCATATAGCAGCTCCTAGAAGTAGGTTGATTATTATCTTTATTTTACAAGTGACATGTTCCGCAAACTTCCCAAGGTCACTCAACTGGTATGGGGTGGAGCAGGGTTTAGACAAGGCAGGCTGACTCCCGAGCCTGCTTTCCAGTGATGGTACTAGATACTGGCTGGGAGGAAGTGATGTCATGTATGTGAAGGGCCCTGCACTCCCCAGGAGCTTAGTAGACCTGTGGTCATTGGTAGCTGGTCTTGTGTTGACTACA